GAGAGAGAGAGAGAGAGAGAATCTTCTACTCAATGGTTTACTCCCCAAATGGTTGCAAAGGCTGGGGCTGGGCCAGGCCAGAGCTAAGTGCCCAGAGCTTCTTCCTGGTCTCCCATATGGGTGCAGGGGCCCCAGCACTTGGGTCATCTCCGCTGCTTTCCCAGGTGCATTAGCAGGGAGCTGAGTGGGAAGTGGAGCAGCCAGGACTCAAACCAGTGCCCATAGGGGACCCAGATGGACAGAGGCTTAACCTGCTGTGCCACAATGCCAGCTGGAAGCATTTAGAATTTAATGCATTCTTTGGGGCTGATAAAAATCTAGTTGTTTCTTTGTGTGAATCAAGTTAAATACTAACACCAGTGCCCCAATAAAATCTGTGCAAGGCTTGGATGGAGACAATTCACACAAATGGCAGCAGGTGGGCATTAGCCTCGCAGCAGAGACACCCGCACCCCACAGCAGATGCCTGGGCTGAGTGGCTGCTGCTCCTGACTCCAGCCTCCTGCCCACGCAGACCCTGGGAGCAGTGACACAGGCTCAAGGGACTGGGCTCCTGCCCCCTCACTGCAGTCCTGGGCTGGATTTCGTCTGCTCCTCTTCAGCCCAACCAGATGAGAGTTCTCTCTCTCTCTCTCTCTGTCTCCCCCATTTAATCTTTCACTCTCAAATACAAAAATAAACAACTGAATGCATGAGCACTTGTGTACAATTTATTGTGGAGATTTTCAAATTACAACCAAATAAACCCAGCAGAGAACTAGCAGAGCTGGTGATGTTTATGGCGCAGATTGGCCACTGCTACCCGGAGCATTTCCTCAACTTTCCTCAAGAGCTGAAAGATCTTCTCTCCTGCAATCATACTGTCTTGGACCCAGATCTCTGAATGATATTTTGCAAAGCTTTGGTCCTGCTGAGAAATAAGAATCTCATCGACCCATCAGGCTTACTAGGGCTCTTCTTTGAACTTCTGCGTTGCCACTACAAACTGCTACGAAAGACTAACTTAGTCACATATTGTGACTGACATCAAGAATATAAATGCAAAGCACAAGAACAACAAAGTGAATATAGTCTTGCAGAATTTCATGTACACCATGTGAAGAGACAGCAATGCGACAGCAGCCAAGGTATCTTTGGATGTGATGATCGAACGCTCTAGAAGGAACATCTGGAATGATGCCCAAACCGTCAATGTTATCATGACTGCATGTTTCTCTAAGGTCACCGAGATACTGGTTGCTGCTTTGACATTCTTACTCGGAAAAGATGAAGATGAGAAACAGGACAGTGACTCAGAATCTGAGGATGAAGGGCCAACAGCCAGAGACCTGCTAGTGCAGTATGCCACAGGGAAGAAGAGCTCCAAGAACAAGAAAAGGTTGGAAAAGGCAATGAAAGTGCTCAAGAAACAAAAGAAGAAGAAAAAACCAGAGGTGTTTAACTTTTCAGCTATTCACTCGATTCATGATCCCCAAGACTTTGCGGAAAAACTACACAAGCAGCCGGAGAGCTCTCAGGAGAGGCCTGAGGTGAAGATGATGCTCATGACCTCATCTCCAGATTGGTGGGACTCCATGAGCTTTTCCTCTTCTGTCGCTCCCCCTCTTCATGGAGGAACGACACAGGACCCTGCGCTGTTCTTTTGTCTGCTCGGCCCTCCCCGGGTTTGCTGCTGGTTCTTCCCGGGTTGGCTACCGTCCCTCCACCTCTGTGGAGGGGCGGGCCCCCTGCCACCTTCCCCACTTCCGCAGGGGAGCGGCACACCGCCGGCCGGCTCTCTCGGGGGCTGCACAGGTGTTCCTTCAGATAGATGTTCCCCTTAAATGTTCCTGGTGCATGTTGTCTCTCTCCTCCTTTATAGTCCTCTTCCACCAATCCCAACTCTGCTACCCACATGCCGAGTACGCTGCTCTCCTCCAATCAGGAGCAGGTCCCACAGTCTATTGGTTGAACTGGAGGCAGCTGTGTAGAAGCTGTTTCCTCCTCTCCCAGCGCCATATTGTGGGAGAGCAGATGCATAGAATAAGTCTTAATTCCAGTAACTTAGTCTAGTCTGAGTTGCTCCCAGTTGCTCCCCACACTCTTCAACGTCTATCCCTTTGTGCAAAGCTTCCTACAGCCCCACCAGAGAAGTAACGAAGATCCTTCTGTTTGCTGCACAAGCTTCTCATCACCTGGTGCCCCCAGAGATCATTCAGTCGTTGCTCATGACGGTGGCCAACAACTTTGTTACCGACAAGAACTCTGGGGAAGTCCTGACCGTAGGCATCAATGCTATCAAAGAGGTAACAGCTCGGTGTCCTCTAGCCTCTAGCTGTTGTTCACCTCCAAGACTTGGCTCAGTAGAAAACACACAAAGATAAGAATGTGATGATGGCTGCTAGAACTTTGATTCAGCTCTTCCGCAACCTGAACCCACAGATGTTGCAGAAGAAATTCCGGGGTAAGCCTACGGAGGCCTCCACAGAGGCGCGAGCACAGGAATATGGAGAATTAGATGCTAAAGATTATATTCCAGGAGCAGAAGTCTTGGAAGTTGAGAAAGAAGAGAATGCTGAAAATGATGAAGATGGGTGGGAAGGCACCAGTCTCAGTGAGGAGGACCAGGAGGATGCTGATGGGGAATGGTTGATGCGCACCACTCTTCCGACGAAGAACAGCAAGAAAGCGCCCGGGAGCTGAACAGCACGCCCATGGAGGAGCGCAAAGCCAAAGCTGCCGCCTCAGCACCAGCTGGGTTTTGACTCAGGAAGACTTCCAGAAGATCTGCATTGCCCAGGGGAGGAAAGAACTGGACGCTGCCCCTGGGAAAGCTGAGAAGAGGAAATATATTGAGAGAGAGAGTGACGAGGAACGCAGGGGCGAGTTACTGTCCCTTTGGGATATTGAACGCATTCATAAAAAGCCAAAGTCTGACAAAGAGACAAGGCTGGCGACTGCAATGGCTGGGAAAACAGACTGAAAGGAATTTGTGAGAAAGAAAACCAAAAGAACCCATTTGCTAGTTCCACAAATAAAGAGAAGAAAAAGCAGAAGAACTTTCTGATGAGGCGGTATAGCCAGAATGTCCGGTCCAAAAACAAGTGTTCCTTCCGCGAAAAGCAACTGGCACTACGAGATGCACTTTTGAAAAAGAAAAAGAATGAAGTAACTTTCAAGCAAGTTTTCCAATCCAAAGAGAATGCTAAGTTGGTATCATTGCTCTGAGTATTAGTAAAGCAAGAATATTGGTTCACATTTAAAAAAAATTGCCATTAAACAGTGGCAATCTTGCGGTGATTGAAATGTGCAGATGCTTCTAGATGAAACACTAAGGAACAAATTGTTTAAACACTAAGAAAAAATGACTTTTGCTCAGCATCGTGCCTCCCCCATTCTTAAACTAAGCTTTCTTCATCTACTGAATCATTTTATTATGTGATAAACATACTAAATGGAAAATTTCAGAAATAAACACTACATAAGTTTTAAACTGTATGCCCTTTCTATTTCTTAATGTACTAATATCCTTAAAGGCAGAGTGACAAGATATGGACAGAGATCTTCTGTCCTCAGATTCACTTCTCAAGGGCCTACAAAGTCAGGCTGGGCCAGACTGGAGCCAGGAACCTGGAGCTCCCTCTGGGTCTCCCATGGGCTGGGAGGGGCCCAGTCCCTGAGCCATCACCTGCTGCCTCCCAGGCTGCATGAGCAGGAAGCTGGATCACAGCAGAGTAGCCAGACTCAGACCCAACCCTCTGCTGTGGAATGGGGCGTCCTAGGCAGAGACTAACCTGACCTCCACACCCCCTCCTGGGCCCTCCTGAGGGAGTGATGGAATCTCCTGACTGGTCCCTCCCACCTGGGGTGTCAATCATGTCTGGGTCCAGCCCATCCCTGCTACATCCCCTACACCCCTTTAGTCACCAGCAGGCCTCCCGCGGGTCACATGGCTCTGGAGGTGTCCCAGGTCTGTGTCAGCCCCCTTACCTGACAGCCTAGCACTACATCAGAGTGTCTGTCACCCACCTCCCTCCACGGCATCACACAGGCTCCTCACACTGTCACAGAGGAGGGGACACAGCACCGAGACCTCTCAGAGACCACAGTCACACGGGACTTCTCACAGCTCGTGGTGGGAACAGCTCCACGCTATCAGTGCTGTGGTTCACCTCTTCCTGTTCTTGATTCATCAGCTAAACTTCATCACAGGTGCGTGCAGGGCAGGGCTCAGGACTGCCCAGGGTCAGGCATCCCTGGGGTCCTGGACCACATCTGGTGGATGGGGAGGGACCCGGTGCTGAGCTGTACTGCACTCCCACAGACAGGCTCAGGGCTGGGGGGAGGTGACTGTCACCAGGGCACAGCCAAGTTATCTGGGAAAGCAGACCTGGGGCTCTGGGGGCATCACTGTTGGACACTTTTAGATGTGATGGGGCCGTGGTGTGCTCTGTCACAGACCGGGGTCCTGATCACTCAGGTGGGGAAGTGCGTGCTGCAGACATGGCTGATAAACCACAGGACCCGGCTCCGCGGGTGCCTCTCTCTGGGGCTCTCACACACAGCGGCCCCCTCCCTGGGAACTGAGGATGAAACCACTGCCGCTCCTCCCGCCCTCCCCAGGCCCCTCACTTCCCCCAGCAAGGTCCCTGGAGGTGAGTTTTCCTCTAGAAGAGTCCAGGGGACAGGTAAGGAGCAGGCACAGCTCAGGGACAGGGATCCGGGAAGGAAGGGAGGGCCTGGGGCTCTCCGGGTTCCTCAGACAGAGGCTGCCCGGCCTCGGGGAGCCGACATCACGCAGCGCGGGGCTCGGGAGCACAGGGGTCGGAGCAGAGTCCAGGTCCTGGTGTGGCGCTCAGGGTCTGGGTCCCAGGGCAGGGTCTGGGCTGGGGAAGCCGAGCAGCGTGGGTGAGTCCCCTTGTCCCTGAGTTACACTTCTCCTTTCACTACCTGGGTCGGGTTTTTAAGCCTGGAGACTCATGACGCGATGCCAGGCCTCACTCCCATTGGGCATCCGGTTTCCAGAGGAGCCAATCAGCGCCGCCAGATCCGTGTGATACTTATGCATGGAGCTATGGGAACTGATTTCCCCCCAGAACCCTATGATGAAGTCCCTGGCGCCTCGGACACTCCTCCTGCTGCTCCCGGGGGCCCTGGTGCTGACCGAGACCCGGGAGGGTGAGTGCGGGGTCCGGATGGAGACGTCCTCTGTGGGGCAGGAACGTGGGGACCGCGCAGCGGGCACCCCGTGGGAGGGGCGTCTCATGAGCCCCTGGCCCAGATGCCCCCACCTCGACCGCGCCGGTCCCACACCCCCCTCGCCTTCCCTTTTCCGTTTCTCGACACCCTCTCCCCTTCCTCCCCGCCCGGTCCCACCCACCTCAGACCCGGGCGTCCCGCTGCGGGCCTGCGTCGGACAGTTCTCAGTCGCTCCCGCCCGCAGGCTCGCACTCCATGTTATACTTCGAAACCGCCGTGTCCCGGCCCGGCCTGGGGGAGCCGCGCTTCATCTCCGTGGGCTACTTGGACGACACGCAGTTCGTGCGCTTCGACAGCGACGCCGAGAACCCGAGGGAGGAGCCGCGGGCGGCGTGGATGCGGCAGGTGGACCCGGGGTACTGGGACCGGAACACGCAGATCTACAAGGACAACGCTCAGACCTACCGCGTGGACCTGAACACCCTGCGCGGCTACTACAGCCAGAACGCGGCCGGTGAGTGACCCGGGCCCGATCGCACCTCGCGACCCCTCCCCGCGTGGTGCCCAGGGGGCTCCGAGTCTCCGGGTCCGAGGTCCCCCAGACTGCGCTCCCCGCGGCGACCCTCGGCCTGGAGGAGCCCACGGGACACTCATGGGTTTCATTTTCGGTTTGGGCCAAAATTGCAGTGGTTGGGTGAGGGCGGGGGCGGAGCTCCGTGGCCAGGGCTGACCGCGGGGCGGGGCCAGGGTCTCACACCATCCAGAGGATGTATGGCTGCGAGGTCGGGGCGGACGGACGCTTCCTCCGCGGGTACCAGCAGGACGCCTATGATGGCGCTGACTACATCGCCCTGAATGAGGACCTGCGCTCCTGGACCGCGGCGGACACCGCGGCTCAGATCACCCGGCGCAAGTGGGAGGCGGCAGGTGCGGCTGAACAAGACAGAGCCTACCTGGGGGGCACGTGCGTGGAGTGGCTGCGCAGATACCTGGAGATGGGGAAGGAGACACTGCAGCGCGCAGGTTCGCAAGGCTGGTAGGGGCCGCGTTCGCCGATCTCCTCAGGGGCAGGGGCTGGGGAGGAGAGGAGGAAATCAGACCCAGGCCTAATCTCTTCTCCTTGGGGTGGGGGGTGGGGGGCGCGCGGAAAGGTCCTCCTTGATTTGGTGCCCGCCATTATATCAGGGCAGTAGAGGGACCCCGGGCTGTCAGGATTTGGGACAAAAGATTCCAGAAGTCACCTCAGGGGTGCCCTGGACTCTGGCAGGGTTCTGTGAGCCTGCTGCGTGGGGAGGTTTCGAGTCTCTGCCTCCTCTCAGGTCAAGACTGAAATCCCTTTCATCCCTGTAAGACATCTGAAGACTCCTAGCCTGGGCGCTCTGATTCTAGAAATATCCAAAGAATCCGTCATCCCGATGCCTGTGTGCAGGCAGGGTCTGGGTTCTGCACACCCTCCCCTACTCTGTCGTCCCCTCGGTTCTCAGGATGGTCCCGTGAGTGCTGCTCCCGTGTCCCATGGAGATCACAAAGTGCCTGAACTTTCCAAATCTTTCCCTCAGACCCGCCCAAAGCCCACGTGACCCACCACCCCGCCTCTGACAAGGAGGCCACCCTGAGGTGCTGGGCCCTGGGCTTCTACCCTGCGGAGATCTCACTGACCTGGCAGCGGGATGGGGAGGACCAGACCCAGGACACGGAGCTGGTGGAGACCAGGCCTGGGGGCGACGGAACCTTCCAGAAGTGGGCGGCTGTGGTGGTGCCTTCTGGGGAGGAGCAGAGATACATGTGCCGTGTGCAGCACGAGGGGCTGCCGGAGCCCCTCACCCTGAGATGGGGTGAGGAGGGCAGGAGGGGCGGGACCTCTGTGGGGAGGGCAGAGCCCTGCTGGGGCCTTCAGCAGGGGCAGGGCTGAGCCCTGGGGTCAGAGTCCCCACCTCCGCTTCCCTTCTCAGAGCCTCCTGCTCAGTCCACCGTGCTCATAGTGGGAATTGTTGCTGGAGTTCTGATCCTGGGAGCTATGGTCCCTGTTGTGATGAGGTGGATGAGGACAAGGAGGAGGCAGAGCTCAGGTAGGAGAGGGGAGGGTGGGGTCTGAGTCTCCTGTCCCCTGGGGGACTTCCTGTCCCAGGGAGAAGGCCCCGGGCCCTGTTCCTGGGATGCACAGTCCACACCCATCTGCACACCCAGGCCGGGCCCTGTGTGGGCTCTCTGGAAAGCACAGGGAAGAGAAGGACGAATCTTTCCTGGGCTGGTGCTGGTGATGGGAGCTGAGTGCCAGCAGCCACAGAGCAGGGGGGGCCCCAGCTGAGGACAGGGCTCCAGGGGCGGGGTCTCCTGTCCCACAGCCACAGTTCTGGAAGCTTCTGTAGGATGAGCCAGTGCTCTGGGCTTCCTCGAGGTGGGTGCTCAGGCCCTGCCTCCTCCCTGGCCTCTCACAAGGTGTTTTCTTCTCACAGATGGGAGAGGAGGGAGATACACTCCGGCTGCTGTTAAGTTCTGGCGTGTGATGCTGGGTGGGGGTCACCGCGACCCTTGCCACAGTGAGAAGCCCATGGAGACGCTGCCCGCCCACCCCACGCTCCCCCCTCAGCCACGCCCCCTGTGGACCTCACAGAGTCCTGATTTGTTCACCCCAGGAGGTGGCATTGCCTTAAGTCTCTGATTCTTCTGGCTGTGAAAGCTGAGACCTGGAAGCCTCCTTGGGTAGGGGGTGGGGCAGAGGGGACACCATGGGCTCTGGGGATTCCTTGAATGGGCCATGGTGGTGGCTGCTCATGTCCCTGTGTGCACTGCTCATCTGAACTTGTTACCTGCATTTTTCTATAGCGTGACAGTGTCAGGGTTTTCAAACATGACCAAGAACGACTACCAAGACCACGCTGAGCCAAGAAAGAAGAATTTTGTTAGGGTGAAGAACGGACGTGAGCAGCCTCGGGGGAGAGGAGCTCGGGGCTCCAGAGTGATGCTGGGGTCTAGGGAGCCTGTGCCGGGGAGGAGGGAGACAGGAGGGAGTTGAGTGGAGCGGCTGGACAAAGGGCTGAGGGATGTGGGCTGGAGCAGCAGAAGAGGATCCCAGATACCGAGAGACAGGGGGTCCCTGATTCGGGGAGTGCCCGGGGCTGCCTGATTCACAGCTGGGGCAGTGATAGGGACCAGGAGGCTAGGGTGTCTCCCTGATTTGTAGCTGGGACAAATTCTGGGATGCTGAGGCTCCCCAGGTGCACTGCACCTCTGTTTTCATTTTCCTGTCCCCAGGAAAGAATGGGGAGGAGGATTCGGGACTCTCAGAACACAGCGGCCTGTGTGGGACTGAGCGATGCAGATTTGTGCAGGCCCCGACTTTGTCCTCAGAGCCCCGCTCACCTTGAGCTCGTGGGCAGCAGGCACAGTGTGAGGAGGGGAGCCTGGCCCGCCCTGCCCGCGTGGGCGTCTCCGTCCTGTCTCAGGTCCCGTGCACTGTGCTGCAGCTCCTTCCCCATTCAGTCTGAACACTGATTTATTTTTCCCATTCTGTCATGAAGTTTGGGTGAGTTAATTAAATGAGGAGATTCCTTAAATTTGAGAGAGGAAATAAATAGAAATAAATAGAAGCACTAGAACCTTCCAGAACCCGTGTGCTTGCTGTGCTGAGTGTGCTGCAGGTGGGGCTGGGAGAGGCTGGAGGCACTGAGTGAGGACAGTGCTGTGCCCTGGGTGCTGAGTCCATCCGGGCACTGCGGTCGCTCCTTACCCGGGTCCTGCCCCGTCCTTGTCTCCAGTGGAAGCTCTGCCCCCGACCCCCGCCTGTGCTCACCGGACTCAGCCCCGGCCCCAGGAGGTCCTGTTCCTTGTACCCGCAGCAGGGACGGCTTCCTGCGCCCGGGCAGCCTGAGCTCAGGCTTGGGCCCAGCCACGGCCCCCATCTTTCCCGCCTTCATTTATTTTTCATTTCCTTGGCTGCTCACACTGCCCTTGTTCCTGTGAGGGCCCTGGTGACAGCAGGGTGAGGGGGCGGGGCTGTAGCTGCCTCAGGCTGCAGCTGACCTGGGCTCCATTGATAAACAAGCAGCAGGAAGGGGGCGGAGCTCCACTGCAGGTGCTGTGTGCTGGGGGCCACGCCCATGACACCCGAGCTGCAGCCCTGAGGGAGGCAGAAGCTGCTGGCCCTGTGGAGCCTGCATTCCAGGGAGGAGGCAGCTGGTGGGCTCTGGACAGAGCAATGGGAGAGCGCTCAGGGTAGGAGGTTAGTGTGGAGGGGAAGGAGTGCAGAGAGGGTGTGAGGGAGAGAGAAAGTGGCTGCCTTGCGGGGCTGGGGTCAGCGAGGACCTCACTGAGACAGCGGCCTTGAAGACATTTGAGGGACATGAGGAGTCATCTGTAAAGCCAATAGGGCAAGTCCTTTACAGGCAGGGAACCTCCAGTGCAAATGTCGTGGGGCAGGAGTGTGTGTTTGTGTGTGGGTGTCGTGTGCACACTGGCAGGGTGTTGCCCTTGCTCTAAGTGAGCTGGGAGCTGGGAGAGCTCTGAGCAGGAAGGGGCGTGGCTCTGCTGCTCCCTTACATGACTCCTTGGCTGCTGGGGGAGGGTGGGGCACAGAGGCCAGCAAGGCTGCAGGAGGACGTCAGGGCACCCGGCAGAGCCCAGGCTGGGGACGGGGCTACTGCGCTGGGGCGGGGTGGGAGGAGTGGGAGAGGAGCTTCGAGATCCCTCTGAAGATGGACTCATGGCGCTGCCTCATGGGCTGCACCAGGGGCTGAGAGAGGGCAGTCAAGGAGGCCGTGGCAGCAGGAGGAGGGGGTTTCTCTGGAGGAGAGGGGGCGACAGTGGGCGGGGCATCTGAGGAGGGGGCGGCCCAAGCATCTATGCAGGTGCCCGGAGCCCAGGTGTCTGCTGGGAGTGTGGCTGACACTGTGGGGCCGGCAGTTGGGCCGCGGGATGAAGTTAGGAGAAACGTCTGGGCTGGAGAAGTAGACGGGGAGGGGCACCCTGTGAATGGGGTTCGCAGCCCTGAGCAGAGACGCAGTCACCGAGGGAGGGGGCGGCTGGGAAGAAGAAGGGCCCAGACCCGAGCCCTGGCCCTGCAGTGTCAGTGATGGGAGCGAGCGCATGGCAGAGCCGGCCGCGGGTCTGGGGCCACGTCCTGCACTGGGGGCCGGGACTTGCTGGGCAGGAGCCCCCGGGACACCACGAGGATCAGACAGTCTGGGGCAAGCAGGTCTGCCTGTGTGCAGGGTGTCCTGCCGCTGTGGTCCCCAGGCCACACTTTCAGCAAGACCTAGACCAGGCCCCTCAGGCCCTGCCTTGGGCTCCCGTTCGGGCTTAGTAACTCAGCAGTTTGGGGGGGGGCACAGTGGGGGGCGGAGCCTCTGGCAGGCACTGTGTAGCCGTCCCTGTCCACAGTGCAGCCGCCCCCGCCCACAGTGCTCTCCCTGATTCTCCTGTTTCCGAAGTGGGAGGCAGTGCACACTCAACTCAGCCTCTCTCAGTTGTGACTGTTGCCTTTTAGCATTGTACCGACAGTGCTGTCAATCAAGTTGTCAGTGAGGCTCAGGTTGTAAAGCAGCAGGTGCAGGTCCCATGTGATTCTCCTTCCATGAATAGTTTGGAGCAGAGAAGAATCTTCCCCTCCCTTTGCCTCTCACCAGGACACACCCAGGTCTGTAAGAGCCAGGGGATGCTTGTGTGCCCTGGCATTTGGTGTACATGGATATTTTGTGTTTCCTTGTTCGTTGAAACATGTGTAGGGGATGTAAACCCATCTGCTGGTTTCTATGTGGCCCCCACAGAGGATTTGACAAAAATCCCACCCTAGTTTTTAGTTTAGAGGCGCCGCCCACAGTGCGGGGGGACCAGGAGTAGCTGACAGCAAACTGATTTTAGGGGCTCAGGAGGGGAGAGGAGGCTTCTGTTGCTCAACTTTGCTCTTGGGCCATCTTCCACTGCTTCCTCAGGTGCATTAGCAGGGAGCTGGATTGGAAGTGAAGCAGCTAGGATTCAAACCAGCACCCAAATGGGATGCCGGCGCTGCAGGCTGGGGCTTTAACCCACAGCGCCACAGTGCCAGCCCCTCAATAAGCTTTTTTAAAAAAATTTAAAAATTTTTTTATTTGAAAGTCAGAGTTACACACAGAGAAAAGGAGAAGTACAGGCAGAAAGAGAGGTCTTTCATCCACTGGTTCACTCCCCAATTGGCCGCAATGGCCAGAGCTGGGCTGATCTGAAGCCAGAATCCGGGAGCCTCTTCTGGGTCTCCCACGTGGGTGCAGGGGCCCAAGGACTTGGACCATCTTCTACTGCTTTCTCAGGCCATAGCAGAGAGCTGGATCAGAAGTGGAGCAGCCGGGACTCGAACCAGCGCCCATATGAGATACCGGCACTGAAGGTGGTGGCTTTACCTGCTACACCACAGTGCTGGCCCCCTTCAGTAAGTTTTTAGGACTGCTCGATCCACTGAAAACTCAAAATGATGGATACAATATGAAACAATTAAGAATCATGGATAAACAATGGCCCGCGCCATGGCTCACTAAGCTAATCCTCTGCCTTGCGGCGCTGGCACACTGGGTTCTAGTCCCGGTCGGGGCGCCGGATTCTGTCCCGGTTGCCCCTCTTCCAGGCAAGCTCTCTGCTGTGGCCCAGGAGTGCAGTGGAGGATGGCCCAGGTGCTTGGGCCCTGCACCCTATGGGAGACCAGGAGAAGTACCTGGCTCCTGCCATCGGATCAGCGCGGTGCGCCGGCTGCAGCGGCGGCCATTGGAGGGTGAACCAACGGCAAAGGAAGACCTTTCTCTCTCTCTCTCTCACTGTCCACTCTGCCTGTCAAAAAAAAAAAAAAAAGAATATTGAATAAACAAGAGAATAATCATTTAGGACAAACTATAATGGGTACAGGGATTAACACGGAAAAGTTGTTTTGAAGGTATTTGCCAAATTCAGAAAATCATAGCTCTGATTTTCTCAGGCTTTTAAAGTGTAGTAGAAAGATACAATGCCCAGAACTTATTCATGTGGTGCATCTAATAGGAGACACTCCTCCTGCTGTCTCAAAAACTGGGAAACTTTAAGAGTAAGTTTGGGGCTGGGGCTGTGGCGTAGTGGGTAAGGCTGCTGCCTGCAGTGCCGGAATCCCTTATGTGCGTTGGTTCTATTCCTTGCTATTCCATTTCTGATCCAGCTCTCTGCTATGGCCTGGGAAGGCAGCAGAAGATGGCCCAAATCCTTGGACCCCTGCACCCGAGTGGGAGACCTGGAAGAAGCTCCTGGCTCCTGGCTTCGGATCTGCACAATTCTGGCCATTGCGCCCATTTGGGGAGTGAACCAACAAATGGAAGACTTCTCTCTATATCTCTCTCTCTCCTTTCATTCTCTCTCTGTTTAACCCTGACTTTCAAATAAATGAATAAGTCTTTCAAAAAAAATTAAGGGCCAGCGCTGTGGTGTAGTAGGTTAAGCCTCTACCTGCAGCACCAGCATCCCGTATGGGTGCTGGTTCCAGTGCCGGCTGCCCCACTTCCAATCCAGCTCCCTCCCTGCTGATGCACCTGGGGAAGCAACATTAGATGACCCAAGAACTTGGGCCCCTGCACCCATGTGGGAAACCTGGAAGACGCTCCTGGCTCCTGGCTTTGGATCAGCTCAGCTCTGGCTCTTGTGGCTATTTGGGAAGTGAACCAGAAGATGGAAGACCTCTCTCTTTCTCTCTAACTCTGATTCTTAAATAAATAAATCTTTAAAATTCATTCATCTATACACTTAGGTGCATTTCTTGGTATGTATACTCCATTTTAATAAAATGTCTTCTTCAGGGATTTCGGCAGATCTAGCATGGCTCTGTGTGTGTGTGTGTGTGTGTGTGTGCATTAGAGAAAGACTTATTTTAAAGAATTGTCTTCTGCAGTTATGGCCTAAAGTTGGCAAAAATGGGTTAGCAGATTCAAGACCAAGTAGAGAGGCAGGCACTGTGGTATTAAGCTGTCAGTGTGCTAAGCTACCCCTTGGATATGTGCACCCTGCATCAGAGAGCTGGTGGGAGTCCCAGCTCCCCTCTTCCAATGCATCATCCTGCCAATGCACCCGAGAAGGCAGCAGATGATGGCCAAGGACTTGGGTCCCTGCCACCCGAGTAGGAGAACTGGGTGGAGTTCCTGGCCTGGCTTCGGCCTGGCCTACCCCTGGTTGTTATGGCGTGTGAGGAGTGAACCAACAGATGGAAATTCTCTCTCTTCTGTCTCCTTCTCCCCTTTCTGCTGCCTCCCTGCCTCTTCCCCTCCCTCCCTGCCTCTTTCCCGCCCCGGCTCCATCTGACACTCTTTCAAATAAATAAATGTTAAAGAAAAATAAAGACCCAAGGATAGCCACCACTGTAGCTCAAGTATGAA